AAACTCAAATCAAGAAGCTTCAACGCAGCAACCTCAACAATCTGGTGATACATCCAATAATAGTAGCGCAGTCAACACCAGTGCAGCCAGTGGAGAAGGTACAGGTGCACAATCATCTCCTCCTTCTGCGTCTTCTCAAACTGATGGAACTGCGGAAGGTGGTAATTCTGCAGAAACATCAACGAATAACTCAGCGAGTACGAACCCTGAAACTGATAGCACATCCACTAATGAGGAATCAACCAGCACCTCAACAACAACAACACTTCCTCCTGAAACTGCAAACAACAACAAGAAGGGTGATGCAGACAGCAGCAGCAGTATCAGCAGTTCTGTGTGGGTGCGTGTACCACTACTGATTGTGGCTATGTTGTTCTCCTTTACTGTGTACTGAACGGTGGGTCTCATCTGAGGGCAAATAATAATAATAATAATGGTTAAACTAACATAATCATAATTGCGTACATCCACCATGGGTGAATAAATTAATAATCTGTTTGCCAGCTTTCTCTTTTAATTCGAATATCTTTTCTTTTACTTTTTTTTGTGTGTGTTCTTTTTCTAATAATTCCATTACTTGCTTTTTCCGTTGTGTGTGTTTGCAGAAAACTGGGCTTTTTTGCTCACTGACGGTATACATCTCTTGCTAGTACACATGAGTATATATGTGTGTGCAGTAATTTCATACATAAACTAGAGGCATGGGGTGTTGTGCGTGTTCTTGGACACTCTCTCTGTGTGTGCCTGGGCTTGCACTGTGATGATGATGATGAACTGCTTTTTTGCAGTGAAAGAAATAATAATAGCAGATGAATTTATATTTATAATTGCGTATGTATACACATATAGACTTACACCCATAGTTGTTGTATATTTCTGTGTTTACTGGGTAAATTGGGCTAATGATTAATATCTTTCTTTGCTTTAGTGTGCGTGGGTCATTGTGTGCTTTTGCCCTTCACGGTTTTTGGTAATCTGTTTTATAAGAGCAAAGGAACAAATAGTAGTTAATACAATTGGTATTCGTAATTACTTGAACAAACGAGCATCTCAGTGGTCTGTGAGTTATTTTTGTGCAGTTGGTCCTCTTCTTAATTTGTGTTTTTTTTTTTTTTTTTCATTTTCTTTGCTTGGGCTCTGTGTAATTTTTTCTGCATTGTTGTGTGTTACAGTGTTTTGAGGGGAGAAAGAAAAATAAGGAATACATAAGTATATTTGTAATTGTGCTTGGTCCTACAGGAAGAGGCATTTTGATTTTATTGCTGTGCTTGCTTCTGATGGTTGTATTCTTTAATTTCTTTTTTTTCTTTTGAGGGTTTATTGGGATTATCTGTTTGTTTTTGGGTATTGTATGCGTTGTTCCTTTTATTTGGGCACTATATGAGTTATGATTGCACCTTTTTTTCATGTGTGTGCTTCTGCTGTAATTGTTGAGTGTTGTTTGATTTGGTGTGTTTTTTTATTTTCTTGTTTACATTGATTCACTTTGTTTCTGGTTTTTCTATCCGGTTTTTATTTTTCTGTAAGCGATTGAAGTAAGACTACTACAAGAAGTATTGTAATGGTAATGATGCGCTACGTGCTGTGTATCCTCGCTCTCCTGCTCTCATGTGCGTGTGTGCACGTCCTCGCTGAAGAAGTGCCTGCCGCCGATCTTTCCGACCAAGTCCCTGATACGGAGAGTGAGACAAAGAT